TCTTGAAGGTTCGATTCTGAGACATAGGAGCCTTCAAGATTAATCTCCCATTTACATCAACGACTCTCATAATTTTATCTTCGATTGACACTTTATAATTCTTTTCGACCAACTGCCCTATACTGAGAAAATTGCTCTTCATGCCTGTTATGTACAATACATTGGAAATTACTGACCTCTTGCCATCTTTCCTCATGATCATAACATCACCAATACCTTCAGCTGCTAGGGTATTGTCATTTGCAAATTTTACCATATTTTTCATTGAGGGCTTTATATTGACGAACCAGTCTTTCCTTCAAGACATATGTGATGAACATCCTGAATCTAAGTACCATTGGTCCTTAAATCTATCTTCATCTCTTGTTGTGACCATCAGCATCATCTCTTCTTCTTCTTCATGTTTTGTAAGCTTTGCATCACTTTCTTGATTCTTTCGTTTTTATGGATAATCACTCGAATAGTGACCATACTTTTGACAATTGTAACATAGAATGTGACTCTTATCAGGTTTTCGACCACCACCTCTTCCTCTATTTACAACACCACCTCTTTGGTTGCCTTGGTATGGTCTTCTTTGATTTGACACGTTTCCTTCAATCTGGTTTCCTCTACCATTCGATTTGTTGTAGCCACATCTACCTCTGTCGGAACACTTTCCTTTGCCTTTGGTCTCTTTTGCTGAATGTGCCTGCAAGGCCACATCACTCTTCGATTTTCCTGCAGCTCTTTCGTTCATTCGTTGTTTATGAGATTAAAGCGTCCCTTGAAGCTCTTCCTTTGTCAATTTCGACAAGTCTTTCCCCTCTTCTATCGCCACCACTATGTGGTCGAACTTAGGAGCTAAAGATCTCAAGATCTTCGACACAACAGCTCTTGTTGTTAACGCTTCTCCACATATCTTGATTTAATTTACTAGTTTTATAACTCTAGTGAAGAAATCAGATATGCTTTCATTGTCTTCCATCTGAAGCAGTTCATAGGTCCTTTTGTGAGTTTGTAACCTCACTTCTTTCACTTTCTCAGCCCCTCCAAAAGACTTCTCAAGGATTTCCCAAGCTTCTTTTGTAGATTCTGAATCACTAACCTTTTCGAAATTGTCTGGGCTGACACATTGATGAATTATAAATAATGCTTTATAACTCAGCTTCTCAGATTCTATGCATTTCTTCTTTTCTTCTTCTGAAGCGTTTTCTCCAAGCGCTTCGAATCCATCTTTTACAAGGTCCCAAAGACCTTGACACCTGAATAAGACTTTCATCTGTTTGCACCAATTCTCATAGTTGTCAACTTTCAGAATTGGTAGCGTTGCTGGATAGTTTGCATTCTCATAACTTGTCATCGTGAATTCTTCAATCGTTTTTGATTGACACTTCTCTCGAATCGAAACAAAGCTCTTGATACCAGATGTTGGAAATACACCAAAAGACTATGATGAATTTCTACCACAATGACGATTAGTTATGAGACAAACAAAGAAAAGAAGACAAGACAAATAATTTCTGCAGAGTTTCTCTCTGCTCACAAACTGTGAAAACTTTCTTATTCACTTTGCAACTGTAAAATACTGTAAATGACTTGCTTGACTTGCTTACAAAAATAGGGGTTACTCCCTCTATTTATAACTGAGCTTACACCCTAAGCCCAAAACCCAAAATATCTTTTTGTTACTAAATCAAATCTAATTTATTCTAGACTTAAATCAAATCTATTTAAATCTAAAACAAATCAAATCTTTTCAACACATAGTTTCGACACATTGGATTACAATTTAACAGATAACACACTTCTTTTAGTAAAAGATTTTCTAAAGCATAAAATACTATGATTGTAGAAAAACTCATACACACTACCTTTGACGATCGAACCCCATAATTACTGTAGAGGTAGAATTTTGTGTGTGTGTGTGTAGATGTTTAAAGAGAAAACCTCTTATAAATTAAATGATACAAAACAAACCCAAATAATTATAAACCTTGAAGGATCATCATCTTAAATGAATAACATAGAAAAGTCTCAAAAGATGAAGTCTTCTTTAAACAGATCATTTTAAGGAACATGAAATTCAAAAAGAAATCTAAAGTTTGATATCAATAAAACTAAGAAGGTTAGAAAATAGTTTCTCTTAATGAACTGGTCTCAAAGCTATTAACTGTGGGAGAAGTATTCTCTTATGAACTATTTAATTGTCGCTCTTTGTGCTTATTTTTCCATTTTTAATCAGGAACGTCATCTCTTTTATATTAGCAATTTTTGTGCTCTAAATGTTTTTTATTTTTTTCTTCTTCTTTCTTTACCCCCCCTCTTTTTTATAATGACAATAGGGGAGAAGTTTACTCTCAAAGAGAGGGGGATACTTCATTCTTTTAATCAATTTTTATTGGATTAATGATGTTATCCAACCATAAGTACACGACTATGTCAAGTAGTATTATAAGATTGAACCCACTGTGAGATGTGTATGAGTATAAAAAAATTTCTTAAGGGTGTTTAGCTAATGCGATCACAAAGAGGATTTAACCTCGGTTATAAAAAACATATTTAACCTCGATTGTGAAGGAGATTTAACATTAGTTACCAAGGCGATATAACGAAGGGTGTCATGAAAATTTGTCAAATTACCCCTCAGTTTTGAAATAATTGAGGGGGTAAAGTGTTCTTCATATGGGTTTGATCCCCAAGGAGATCTTTTTTGAAATTCTTAAATGGCGAAAACACATTTCTCCTCGATTTTGACATTCCACCGACGGGTATAATACATTTAACCTCTCTTTTGACATAAAACTGACGGATAAAATATAATTGAGTTTATTAAATCTAATGTGGATTTCTTATTTCACTAAACCCTAACTGAACATATAATTTCTCAAAATTTCTTAGGAAAATAATTATATGAAAAATTGTATTATATTTGAAGAATAAATTACACTCATTAATAGTTTTCAAGCATTTTACAATTCATCATTCATCTCACATTCTTTCATGATTAAAATCTCTTCAATATTTCAAGTCTTTATTCAACAATTATGGAAGAAAGTTGAACAAAAACTAGAAATATTGAAAAGATTTTAACTATAAAAGAACATGAGATGAACGATGAGTTGCAGAATGCTAGAGAAATATTAATCAATGTAATATATGTTTCAAATACAACATAATTTTTCATATGATATTTCCAAAATCAATTTAATAGGCTATATGTTCAAAGAGGGGTTAGTAAAACAAACAATCGACATTAGATATAATAAACTTAACTCTACGGAATAAGATGAGAGTTGCACAAAGAATAAAAAAACATTAACTTAATATCAATATCAATCTAAAACTCAACAACAACAATAACAACATGAAAATTAATAATAACTTCAACAACAACATCAACAACGAGTCTCAAGAACAACAACAACAACAACAACAACAATAACAACAACAACATCAAACCTTTAGGGTCTCAACAACGAGTCTCAAAAACAACAACAACATCTACAAACCTATAACATAAATCTGTGTAAACAATAACAACATAAAACCTATAGGGTTTCTGGTCTCAATAACGGGTCTAAACAACAACATCAATAAACCTATAATGTAAACATGTTTAAACAACAACAAGATAAATCTCCAGGGCTTCAGATCTCAACAACAATAACAACAACAATATGAGTAGTGAAGTTTGACCTACTAGATCTCTGAAGAAGAAGTGAAAGAAATTGATATGGATCTATGAAGAAGAAACGAGAGTTCTAAATACATATCATCTTCGTATTAAAGATGATACATGTTTATGGCTCTCTTGTCTGCTCTCTTACTAAGGGCTCTTCATTAGAGTTCTGTTTGTATTGCTTAGAAAAGTAAAACATAATGTTACAAGTTAAAACTATATATATATATATATATATATATATATATATATATATATATATATATATATATATATATATATATATATATATATATATATATATATATATATATATATATATATATATATATATATAAACAAATTCACCTAAGTTGAAAAATAAAACCGACGTGAAAAGTGACATATTTCTATATTAAAAATAAATATTCAGGAAGACGTCATTTTTAATGAAATAAAAATATATTCTGAAGCTGTTGAGATTCAAAGTATGTACACTAAATTATTTTACTCCCTCGATTTTCATAAAAACTAACCGAATAAATTTTAGATTAAAAATAAAGTATTCAGGAAAACGTCATTTTTAATGATATAAAAACATAATCTAAAGTTGTTGAAATTCAAAGAAAGTACATTAAACTAGTTTACCCCTAAATTTTCATAAAAAAGCTGATGGAATAAATTTATAGTTTTTTAAAGAAAAAACATGGTTCATTGAGGGATATTATACCTCAGTTTTTAATATGTGAGGTGAAATTGTTATCATAAAAAATAATTTTTCTAATAGTGACTATATGAAAAATCTTTAAAACCTGAAAACACACTTCTTTTAGTAAAACCATTTCGAAAGCATAAAATACCATGAATGAAGAAAAACTCATACACCTACTTTCATGACTAAGTCATAAGCTATTGATGTTGCTGTAATTTTTCTATAGAAAATTGTAATATTGCATGAATTTTCGTGTTCCATTGTTTCAGATTGTGATACTTTATTTTTAAGTAATTTCTATAAATCCCATTTTAAAAAAACAGGTACACAACTAAAATTCAATTCAGCGTAACATCCCATATCGAAGGACAGACAGAAAAGTTGTCAATCGATGCTTCGAAATTTATTTACAATGTTTAATAGGTACTAAGCCTAAAAAAAGTGTTTCTTTCCTTTGTAGGCAGAGTTATGGTTTAACACCAATAATGAAACTTCAAGCAAAATGTCCCCTTTTAAATCATTGTATTAACATGATCCCCATCACATTCATAAGAGATCCACCATTCATTTCCTCCTTGAAGAAGTCAACAAACTTACAATTACTCGAGATAAATTATTGAATTCTTTAAGAGAGAATTTATTGAAGTCCTAAGATGTCATGCGCGCAAATGCCAACAAACTTCGCTGAGATATAGAGTATTCAGTTGGTGATTAGGTGTTCTAGAATAAACAATCTTACATGAGAAGGTCCTTAGCTAAAAGAACTAATGAAAAACTCTCTTCGGTTTTATGGTCATACATACCTCACACCATACTGTGAACAATAGTGATTATCTTTGTAGCACCAACACTTCTTAAAAAAAGTGTGTCCGTATCAGTTCGGTGTCCAAAATTGACACTGATAATTGTGATTATATTTAATTTATTCATTTTTTTTAAATTATTACTGATGTTCGCGTGTTAGTGTTGTGTTTCTGAAATCCGTATTTTATAGGTACAGATTCTGCAAATCCTATACGGAGATTACCATAGTCAAACACTGTGTGATATGCCTGCAAGAAAATGTCTCCAAAAACCCTGCACATATACATAAAACTATCTACTGTCATACAATATGTAATATAAAAAGAGACAAAAAAGAGCATGCAACATGGAACATTAAGAAAGACATTATGAATATGATGATAAGTAAACTTTACCAGAGGGGACCCTGTGGGGAAGGCACATCTAGAGCAACAAAACCACTATAGCACACAGGAGAACAATCTTTATCATCATTAACTTTAAGAATATACTGAAAATCAAGGGAAAAAAAAATGTTCTTTTCAATGTCTTCTTCATATAGAAACCATACTAAGCGATGTTAGCATTTCTCTTGAGAATACCTGTTCTGGAGAGAGATGAAACAATTTGCTTCCAATTGTGAATGTAATATTTGGCATATCAGAGACACTGCTGCAGTTTATAAATGATTGTCCAACCGGATTCGGGAGCCTCTCGCACAGCTTTCACAGAAACGACTCTTCAGTTTTCAACATCATATTTTACCCTGAAACTGCGTATCCTTTAATTTTGCTAAAAATTACCTCGTCCACGTGTTTTAACACTTTTTCCTTTACGTTGCTTTGCGTAATCTGAACTTGAATCCAAAGGACAATCATATTGCAAAAACTACAAAAGGGGCTCTCCTTTGTTTGCGATCCATCGCGAGTTTCATTATGCACCACTGTTTCAATAACATCGCTGGAGGTAAAATCGGATTTTTGTTAAGATAAACCAGGGCGAAAGAATGTCTCAGAAACAATCACGATCAGGAAAATGAAAAGTGAAAAATTTGTACTTCGATCTTTGAAATTCGTTATTTGAACAAAGTCCAATGTCCGCACACAAGATATCAGGATTTAACTGCAGACACATGACATACAGAGATAAGTAAAATGATATTTAAAATTTGAACATAATAAGTGCATAGTGAGAAAGAGAACAAACTCCTGAAATCAAGGATTCCCATATCGAATTTCCGTAGTTATGGACAATGTTTTTACACTCAAAACTAACATATCCTTCTGTTCCAATGGCATGGTTAATTTGAGTCACAACACCCTGCAAACAATAACTAGTAAGAAAAAGGACACCGAGGGACTCTAATTGAAAAAAGTGCTCAATGTTTGACAGTGACACGACACCAACACGTGGTTACATTCATTTGTTCCACTTTTTCAAATATCTATCATTGTCGACATGTCTGTGTTGTGTCCTTCGTCCGTGCTTGTGACTGACAGTGTTTCATATCAAAGGGAGCAAAACAATATATAAAAATAGAAGTATAGTTTTTGAGATAATACAGTTGGACCGGCGATTAAAGATGTTCCTGAGTCCACTATTGCAGCACATCCACCCTTACAGAAACCTGTAAATATTTACTCAACTATAAGAAAGAACGAAAAGACTTTGCAGATAGATTTAGCATTGTGCCGAATCCGAAAGCTTAAGGACCTGTTGTATTATTTGCAAGTAGTATATCTCCCACTTCAATCTGCAGGTGCAAACACTAAAAGTTAAGAAGGCCATGGTTGATAATAAACCTATTGATGACTTTCTATTTTAACATAATACCTGCCAATAACCCTTTTGAGATATTGGAAAGTAAGTGTGGTCACCTTTAAAATGCCTCTTGTCCATACCACCAAACACAATCTCACCCCCAATTTGTGCCAATGGATCCTTGTTTAGCCAAAAAGAGAAAACTTTGTCCAATACCTGTCCTTGTTCTATCATATTATACCTGTACAACCAAAAAAAACTAATCAATTATACTTTTGGAGTATCTAAAGCTAATATTGATACAGACAGACACGACATTGACACTGATATGTCGACACCAATAATAATTTCTGTAATATAATTAAATATAATCACATGCGTCGATATCTTACTGACACATCTTAGACACCTGACAGTAATTCCCCTTCAATCTGAAGTGTCGTTACTAGATCACATCACTAATGCTTCAACCCTTTTTATTAACTTGATATGAAAAACCAATAATAAACAATGAAATGGACTAAAATAGTTATTATGTGCTCCATATTACCACACTGGTGTGACTCTTCCAACTGAAATGTCCTGGAATCCAAGTCCAAGTATACCATCAAATGGAAGAGCTAAAAGTGCGAAATTTCCTTCTCTTGTAATCTCAGAAAATTCCTGTCGGGTGATAGATAGCAACCAATCATCAATGCAACCAAAGAAAAATATACAACTCAATCAGAATACTTACTTGATCTTTGATAATAATATCCCCAAGTTTTACATTGTCTTGACTGAAGAATCCATAAATGTATCCTTGATCATAAGGAATTTCACAAGGTACTCCTGAATATTATCCCAAAAGCACCTTAATTAGTGCATGTATCAAACCAAATAGAGACACTTTAAAAAGAAAGCATATAATCTCTAGGTTAAATGCTATGTTAATCCAAAAGTTACCAATTTCTTTATATGTGCTAGATATCTTTGAGCTATATTTGGAATGAAAATAGCAAGCAATCTGCATCAATCATATAAACACATAACTTAAAAGAGTATTCATCTCAATAGCACCAACGCTTCTGAAAAAATGTGTGTCAGTATCAATGTCAGTGTCTGAAACCGATACTGACATTTATGATTACATATAATTTATTCATTTTTTCAATTATTACTGTTGCCAACGTGTCAGTGTCGGTATCATACTTCAAGTTTCCGTGTGTACAATAATCAAATGAGTGAGTAACTTACTGAGAAAATGCATTTGGAAGATGGAATCCAAAGATTGGAGCTACCAGTGTCAAAAACAACATTGAAGTACTGAGGTGGTGTACCAATACCAATTTCACCAAAATATTGTACATCAAAGTAATTCTTAACATACACAACAACCTCTTTTTCAGAACCATTTTTATCAAAACTCTTAAAATCTTTGAGATGAATTGCCTCTTTGATTCTTGCAGAATTAAGACTTTCAAAGTCCAAATTTCTCCTTTTTAGAGTAATTCTCATCAACCCATCATCAGAAATTGTAAACACCAAAGATTGAGACCAAATCCAGAGACATATAACAACCAGCAGATACTTGATATTCATCTGGTTTAACAAAAGAGTGGTTGATTAATTACAATTACAAACAATAGTACTGTCTATATTTATAGTTTTCAGTTTCTAAATAAAGCAAAAACTTGAGTATTATCATGAAACATATAACTTGATTTAGTACAAGAAGCAAAACATGAAGAAGTTTAAGATTTTGTTCGTACCTCGTGATGGTGTTGACTTTTATGGCCACGGTTTGACCGAGATACATGTTCTACACTACACACGGGAGTAACATACATTTTCATATTGTACAGTATTAACTTTTTCTATAATTTTTTCATTTTTTAGTCCTAATTGTGGGCTCACTTGAGACCCGCCGCACCCTAACTACGCTATATACAAATAACAAATATGTTTAAATATTGAAATTTTGATTCACTCTTTGCTATCACGTAGACAAAGCATAAACAAATAAATAACTTAATTTAAGCATGTGTTCGGATATTGAAATTCAAATTAACTCGTGTTATAATAGATATAATGCAAACAACAATTTAATTAAGTTATTTTTCTGAGCATTGAAATCCAGATTCACTCTTAATATTATAAACACTGAATACACCAGCAATGTCAGAAATAGAATATAAAATATGTTAACATAAAACTTTGTTATCACATACATGTACATAATACATAACATAATAAGATGTTTTTTTATAGATATTGAGATTAGTCGTGTGATAATAGCATTACGAAGATTGTATTATTTATATATATATATATATATATATATATATATATATATATATATATATATATATATATATATATATATATATATATATATATATATATATATATATATATATATATATATATATATATATATATATATATATATATATATATATATATATATATATATATATATATATATATATATATATATATATATATATATATATATATATATATATATAGATTTATAGTTTATTATATATTATGGTTAATGTGAGACTTATATACAAATATAAATACATATTCTATCACACACCCGTAGTCGAAGTGGAAGGTTGGCGAATGCTTAGACTGGTCCAAAAATCATCAAAGAGAACTTTAGAAAATCCTTTGGTGAAGATATCGACAATCTGGTGTCGAGAAGGAACACGAAGAATGCAGGCTTGACCACGAGCGACCTTCTCTCGAATAAAGTGAATGTCAATCTTAATATGTTTTGTGCGTTGATGCGGGATATGATCGCTAGATAGGTAGATAGCACTAACATTGTCACAGTACGCAAGAGTAGCTTGGAAAATAGAAAAATGAAGCTCCAAGAGAAGGTCGCGGAGCCAACATGATTCTGAAACTGCATTAGCAATGCCCCGGTACCCGGCCTCTGCACTGGAACGGAAAAGTGTGGGTTGTCGCTTGGAAGACCACGAAATTAGGTTGTCATCAAGAAAAACACAATAGCCCGAAGTAGATCGGCATTGTGTCGGGACATCCACCCCCAATTAACATTTGCGTAGGAAACAAGCTTCTCGATAGGAGAAGGATAGCGATGTAAACCATATTGTAACGTGCCCCAAACGTAACACAAGATGCATTTCAGTGAAAGCATGTGCTCAGTGCATAGAGCATTCATGTGAAGACACATCTGTAGAACATCATAGGAGATGCCAGGACAAGTAAATATAAAATACTACAAAGCACCAGCAAGAATTTGATATAAGTATAGTCATCATATGGAGTGTGGGTAGGGTACTAAGCTTCTGCTTTGTGTCAACTGGAGTAACAAATGGTTTGCATGAGGCCATGCCGGCTCGAGCAATAATGTCAATTGTGTAGGTACTATGACTAAGAAGTAATCCTTCTGCATGTTTGGTCACTATAATATCCAGAAAATAGCTCAGTGGTCCCAGATCCTTCATAGCAAACTTGAAGGCAAGGGGTGACATGATAGATTTGTGTAGGTTATGAGAGGAGGTGATGATAATGATGTCATCAACATAAAGTAAGATGTAAGCCATGTCGGAGCCACGACGTTAGATGAAGAGTGAGGGATCAGAGGTGATGTGCTGAAATTCAATGGTGGCGACAAAGTTAGCAAAGCGCTGGTACCAGACACAAGTCACTTGCTTAAGACCATAAAGTGATTTTTGCAAGCGGCACACATAATCTGGATGATGAGGATCACTAAAACCCATTGGATGATGCATATAGGTTGTCTCATGAAGATCAATATGTAGAAATGAATTATGGACATCTAGCTGATAAATAGGCCATGACTTGGGCAAAGCAATGGTGAGAATAGTGCGAATTAGTGTTGTGAGAACTGGTGTTGTGCATTTTTTCCAGGCCGTGTTAGCTCCTAAATTCGACACTCACATATATTGGCCTTATTGGCTAAAAATAGATTGAGGAAATCTAAGTTGAAGACACTTCGACAGAAGAGTCTATGAAAGGAGTTGTGTCGAAGTCATCCTTGCTAAGAAGGAAAAAACACTTAGAGAATTTTCTAAGTTAAAGACAGTTTCGACCAAAAAGCTCTTGTATCAGCAGCAAGTGGATTTGAATATGAAGAAAGGAGGGAAATGTAATTCATTTGGCAGTTGGGAAAAGTGACGTGGTGTGAAGATAGGGGTCGAAGAGCATGCAGAGGAAACTTGTTCTCATCCTGGAACGAAGCAACAATTCGACAGTTACTTATTATTAGTATAAATATAGGAATTTTGTATATAATTTTGTGTGTTCAATTTATTGTACAAGTCACTCAATTTTATTCAAGTGCCCGTTGTGAGAGAAAGAATATTGAGAATGTACGTTTGAATCACCATACTTTATTGCAGTCAAAGTCTTTACATTTCTTTACAATCATTGCCATTTAACATTTTCCTGCAAACTTTACCATTACAACCTTTTAAATTACTGCAAATTTACTTTATCTTGTACTTTAATTACGTTTTTACCAAGTTTTTACTTTCATCCTGCGCATTTACACCTATCCAAGCCTTTACTCTTAGTGTCCAATCGAACTTGTTCATTAACAACGTTAAGACTTCTTATCAAACCCCAAAAACACTTAGCATATGTCATAGGATCAAACTGATCGATCCTGTAAGTAACCAAAATAACCTTTTTTGGAAGATCAGCGGTTGTTTACAAATTTTCACGGTAAACAAATTGGCACGCACAATGGGACGTTGCTAAGTTTTTGTTGTTTTACAAACTTTGATAAAAATAGTTTTTATCATAAGCGTTTTGCGTCATTTATTTTCTCTCAAAAGTGTTGTATGTTATTGAGGAGTGGTAAATCAACCACCAAAGAGTACATACCTAGGAGAATAAATAGGAGAATGGCTAATCCTAATCAGCCAAGTAGTGGAAAAATGCCTCCACCAATTCCCGCGGTAATAGCAGTTATACCAACAGTTAGTGAATCTGTTCCATCAACGGTTGGTTCGACACCAGCATTGGCAGTTACACAAACAGGACCAATACTTTCTTATGTAGGTCCTAGGGGTCCACTGGGAACACCCCTAGTAAGGGGAAATCCGGGAGTTCGACCTTATGTCCCTCCAGGATTTTCGACAGCCTGGATGGGTTGAGACCAATCCTATGGCATGCCAACTACTGAAATGGCAAGCCTTATGAATGCCTCATCCATATTTTCAGAATCGTTGATGGGTACATCTTCGCCATTGCAAGAATCTGGAACTAGTATGGCAAATCTGGGTAGAAACCAACTCTTAGGAGGGACGTCCCATATAATTCCAAGCCTCACAAATGCTTCTGCAACAATTTTTAGGCAACAAATGGATGAGAGTAACCATGACATGGTGCAGATGTTGGAACAAACCTTGAGTACAGTACTTAACCCTCTGATACAAAATACCACCCAGTCGAACCAGTAAATGGCAGCGCAAATGACGAACATGGCCGAATATTTTGGGGTTCCTCAACCTACTCGACACCCTCAAAGAGATATGATAAGAGAAAATCAGGGTGTGGTCTTAGAGGATGACATAACCATTAACCAGAATCCACAGCCAGATGGGATGAACCATAGAGTGGAGGTCGAACAACCTAGGGTCGAAGTACCCAGAGTTGCCCCACAAATCTCAAGAGTTGTCGAACAAGGTGTAGTTGTGGTAAATAGAAACCAAAATGCTGATGAAGTAATACAATAGGTTCGACACCACAACCATGCATCAGATAATAACTTGACAGCCATGGTCGAAAGAATCATGGCATAAAATGGAGTGAACATTGGCTTTCATAGGCCAAACTTTACATCTCCATTGTCAGACTATATCTTGCAATCAGATTTACCCCCTGGGTGGAAAGTTCCAAAGTTCACCAAGTTTTCAGGGGATACGACAGAGTCCACTGTCGAACATGTGGCAAGGTATTCGATAGAGGTTGGGGAAATCTCAAATAATTAGAATCTTAGGATTAAGTATTTCCCAAGCTCCTTAACCAAAAATACATTCACTTGGTTTACCATACTCCTAGACAATTTGATTTACAATTGGAATTACTTGGAAAGATTGTTCCATGAACAATTTTATATGGGACAGACCAAAATAAGTCTAAAAGAACTGGCTAGTGTGAAGAGGAGATTCACTGAGCCAATTGATGAGTATTTGAACAAATTTTGACTGCTCAAAGCCAAATGCTTTACACAAGTGCTTGAACATGAGTTGATCGAAATGGCTACAAGGGGTCTAGATTATTCCATTAGGAAGAAATTAGATACCCAATACCTGAGAGATATGGCCCAATTGGCCGATAGAGTTTGACAGGTAGAACGCCTTAAGGCTGAAAAAGCTAAGGCGAATAAAAATCATTGAAGAGAAAGGGTAGCATATGTCGAAGTGGATGATGACGATCCAGAGACATCTAGTGACCCTATAACTGTTGAAGAGAGCGAGGTCGATCTAGCATAATTAAAGCAAGGGCCACCATACTCTTGCAAACTGTTAACACCCTCAAATGGGAAGAATCCTACTGATTCTAAAAAGAGTAGTGATAGGTTCCCAAAGAAAACATATAGTTTCAACGTCACAAAATATGACGAAATATTTGACTTGTTAGTTAAATATGGCCAGATGATAGTGCCCCCGGGGGAAAAAATGCCTCCTTTAGATCAAAGGAAAAAGAGAGGTTTTTGTAAATATCATAATTTTTCGGGCCATAAAACCTCACAATGTTTTCTTTTCAGGGATCTCGTTCAAGGCACAATAAAAGACGATAGACTCAAGTTTGCTGAAAAACCTCCCATGAAGATTGATGCAAACCCGTT